TCTAGTGCATGTAGTAAGAGCAGGCTGTTTCTTCTTTGTTAAACTTCAATTTACTCTCTTCCTAATTTTAAATATTCTGTATTTATATACTCCAAGTGCTTCTTCCATCCCATTGCTCTTCACTGCGCGAACGACTTTTTTCTGGTTTTTTGAACTTAAAAATGCTCAAATCTAGAGATTATTCACTATAATATTCACTTCATATGTAAATGTTATTACGAAAAAGAAATAAGAAAATATTAAGGTATTGGAAAACTTATATCAACGCTGCAACGATCGATTAGACTATCGCACACGTCTGGCACAATCCGTGCTCAATGTTCTGCAAGCTCTCCCTCGAGTTTTCCATTATGTGAGAGTTGTTTCTTGTTGTTTGACTATGTTATTGAGTTCCAACTCCATGCCTTTTTTCCAGGAATTCGTTCAGCGAATCGATCGCTTTTCAAGAAATCAGAGGGTTTCCGTCAGAAATTTTACGATTGAGATTGCCCCCCTAATGCTAACAAATTTTGGTTTGTTTTTTACATTTTCAGCTACAGATAATGTGGTTATATTTTCAACGTCAAACGTTTAATGAAAATGTTTTGTTCTTAGATTTATCTGATCCGGAGTCAGGCTTTTACGATGAGATCGACCACTTATACAAACTTGCGCAGGTAACTCCCGTCTTTAAACGGCGGTTTGCCTTTTCTGTATCTAACTCTTAGCACGCGAATACCACTTCGAATAGTAGCAATAGGATGGATGAGGATTTGCAAGAAGCAATAGAAAATAGTAATGAGAAGTCCGACAGCAGTTCAAAAAGCGAAAATGAAAGCGATTCAGACGACAATAGTGACGGCAGAAAGACCAAGGAGAGGGGATCTAAGAAAACCCTACCCAAGTGAGCACCACTTTTTGAATTCTCTTTTAGTTTCTAAAAAGGTCATGAATAGGAATGCACCGCTGGAGCGTGTCCCTGTTCTGCCTGTTCTCTACACCTGCATTATTCGTTGTTGCATAGACAAAGCGTCTTCCGTTCGTATGAGAGCGATGTATCATTTGGCATCTTTACTTGATATTGCTGAACATCATGGTCAATTGTACTATCATGCCAGGAGAATGGTAAGTGCTTTTTTGCAGCCTTAAAAGTAATAAATAAAAAGCAAAAAGTTGCGTTTTGAATCAGTCTTTCCAAAATCTTGTAGCTTCTCACGTCTTCACGAC